GATTGGTTCCTTTCCGAGTTATCATCTGGTATAACCTACAAGCTATCTATTACAGTTTATGACACATCCCATCCGATGTGTGTGTTCTTATTCATTCTTGCGCGGACTATGGTCCAGGTGCGATCCAGCAATACTCGAGTAATAAACAACCCCCCCCCCCCCCCCCCCCCCCCCCCCCCCCCCCCCCCCCCCCCCCCCTCCCCCCCCCCCCAACCCCCCCCCCCACCCCCCCCCCCCCCCCCCCCCCCCCCCCACCCCCCCCCCCCCCCCCCCCCCCCCCCCCCCCCCCCCCCCCCCCCCCCCCCCCCCCCCCCCCCCCCCCCCCCCCCCCCCCCCCCCCCCCCCCCCCCCCCCCCCCCCCCCCCCCCCCCCCCCCCCCCCCCCCCCCCCCCCCCCCCCACCCCCCCCTAGTGTCAGGAATGGCGAAACGGGGGGGGGGGGGGGGGTTGCTACGAGCCCTCTTGCGGGACTGTCATATATGTGGCTTGATGGTGCAGAAAAACCTTCTCTACAGTCGTGGATACAGTGGAAAACATCTTTCCAACATCAAGTGACTTTCTTTCCTGTGTTAAACCCCTCTATCGTGTTATCCGATACCCATTGGATTATGTTATTCCGCCAAGCCCTTGGATCAGAAGGACAACGTCATTTTGACGCTATGAACTTGATGGCTAAGACCAGTATTGTGCACGTGATCCAGTTGTTTGATGAATTGTGGGAAATCCAACAAAGTGTGTTTTCCGCTCGTTATCAGTTTTTCAAGCTACAGAAACGATGCGGAGAAAGTGTAAATGATTTCATTGCCCGCATTCATCAAGCTACACCGGAATGCCGGTACAATACCATTCCCTCAAGTCGGGTTGAAGAAGTCATGAAAATCCAGTGCCTAATTGGTGGAGTTACAGATGATGGTGCGAAGGAAAAATTATTGTCACATAAGGAAGAAACCCTTTCCTAGGAAATGGCGTGTATCCTCGTACGTCAAAGGGAAAACCTAAAATCCCATCTATCCACCTTCAACCCTCCTCAGCCTGTGGAATATGTAAACAAACTGTCACCACGGTTATCCTCTGAAAACAGGATACGGAAGTTCGTCTGCTAGCGATGCAGGGATCAGCACACTTCTCCCACCCAGTGTCCTCATACTCGCACAAAGTGCAGAAATTGCGGAAAGCTTGGCCACCTGGCACGTGTTTGCCGTTCCCCACGGTCACAAGTCTCGATCAAATCATTGAACTCCGACGACGGTGAGTGCCCAGATTCCCAGCTAAATTCTATGAACCATATAATTTCAAACTGCTCAGTTATGACGAAAGTGTCTCCATATAGGATCACGCTTCATGTTAATAACTAACCTGTTTTATTTGAATTGGATACTGGCTCCGCGGTGACATTGATTAGTAAAAACGCGCTCTCATCGTTACCCGACCTGGAACCGACTGATACCGTTTTTAGAACCTATACAGGAGAAGTAATTGATTTGCTTGGGCAGTGTCAGGTACGAGTGCAGCATCAGGGTGGATAACACAGTCTGGTACTTCATGTCGTGCCTCAGGCTCCAGTCAATTTGTTTGGTCGCGATTGGATGAAAATGTTACCCCGAGTATTAAATACCATCCATTCCGTGGGGGAGGATACCTTTGAATCGGTCTTTAAACGATATCCAGAAGTGTTTGACGAGCAGCAATTGGGCAGACTCAATAATTTTAAAGCAAAAATCCATATGTCAGACTTAAGTACACCAAAGTTCTTTAAGGCCAGAACACTGCCCTATTCCTTACGACCTAGAGTGGAAGACGAGCTGAAAAGGCTTCAAAGAGAAGGTATAATTGTACCAGTCCAACAAGCTGAATGGGCGGCCCCGATAGTGCCTGTACTTAAGCCCGACGGTAACGTAAGAATCTGTAGTGATTATAAGCTTACAGTAAATTGAGGTGCCATCATAGACCGTTATCTATTACCGAAAATTGAGGGTTTGTATGTCAACTTGTCTGGAGGAGTCAAGTTCACTAAATTGGATTTGAGTCACGCCTATTCGCAGGTAGAGTTGGATGAGACCTCCCGACGTCTTATGACGATCAGTACACATTTGGGGCTATTCGAATACACTAGACTGCCTTTCGGGATTAACTCAGCGCCGGCGATCTTCCAAAGGATAATTGACAATATCGTGCGTGACATACCGAACACTTGCGCATATCTCGATGATATCCTTATCACGGGTCGCACAGAAAAGGAGCACTTGTACACGTTGGATCGGGTGTTGCATAAACTTGCTGAACACGGTTTGCGTTTGAAACGCTCCAAATGTGCTTTCCTAGTTGATTCAGTTGACTACCTCGGTTATACACTGGACAAGCGTGGTTTACACGCGCGGAAGGATAAATTACAACCTATTATTTCTGCACCCTCACCTCGTAACGGAGCCCAGTTACGCTCATTCGTTGGAATGCTTTCACACTATCGTCGGTTCCTACCTAATCTTGCTTCTGTTCTAGCAGCACTTCACAACTTGCTGAAAAAAGATTCTAAGTGGGCATGGGGCAAAAAGAGCAACAAGCATTTGACAGGGCAAAAAATCTCCTTGCTTCTTCACCAGTCTTGATACATTACGACCCCAACAAACCCCTCATCCTACAGTGTGATACTACACGTTTTGGAGTCGGGGCAGTGCTGGGACATAAAGTCTACGACGGAACAGTTCGCCCTATTGCTTTCGCGTCCCGCACATTACAACCTGCTGAGAAAAATTACGCACAATTAGACAAGCCGTAGTATTCGGAGTAAAGCGGTTCCATCAGTACTTGTGGGGCAACCAGTTTGAGATACAGACTGACCATAAACCACTGTTATCACTTCTCGGTAAGGAACGAGGCATAGAACAACTTAACGCACCCCGAATGGTACGCTGGGCCCTCCTACTTTCTGCTTACCATTATCAAATCCGATACATTGCCGGTCCTCACAATAATGTCGCTGATGCACTCAGTAGATTGCCACAGATTGACCAACAGGAGGAAAGAAGTGACGCGCCCTACGAGTTTGTTCAACTTTTGCAACACCTGTATACTACACCCAAAACTGGCGACATGCTTAGGAAAGCTACAGACAGAGATCCCGTTCTATCGACTGTAAAACGTATGCTGCTGCGTGGCTGGTGTTCGCGAGCCCCTGGTGATCTGCGTCCGTTTTTCAATTGTAGATTTGAGCTGAGCCTGCATGAAGGATGTATCCTACGTGGATTTCGCATCGTTATTCCATTGACTCTCAGGTCAGCTGTACTGAAAGAATTACATGATGCACATCCAGGTATTGACCGCATGAAAGCCCTCGCCAGATCCTACTGCTGGTGGCCAGCGATTGACCGAGACATCGAAGCACTTTTGAGTACTTGTAACACATGCCAAAAATATCAAAGAGATAATCCAACAGGACCAATTCACCATTGGCAGTTGCCCGACAGCCCATAGGAACGTGTCCACGTCGATTACTTTGGCCCGATCGAAGGAAAAATGTTGCTACTTTTAGTAGATGCGTACTCCAAATGGATTGATGTGCATGTTGTTGCAAATGCTACTGCAGAAGCTACAATCAATGGCGTACGCTCTAGTCTATCTACACATGGCATACCGAAAACATTAGTCACTGACAACGGTCCGCAATTTATGAGTGCAGCGTTCAAAGAATACCTACAGAGCAACGGCGTTCATCACATGACTTCCGCACCGTACCATCCAGCGTCAAACGGTTTAGCTGAAAGAGCGGTCCAAACCGTGAAAGCTGATCTTCTAAAGCAGTGTAATGGCTCATTACGAACCAAACTTGACCGATTCTTGTTCGCATATCGGATCATACCGCTAGTCTATCGGAAAGAGCCCTGGGGAGGCAATGTTTGGGCGTCGACTACGTACGAGGCTAGACCTACTTTTTCCAGATCCTCCTCAGACCAGGCGTTGCCAGCAACAACGTATGCATGAAAGTGGACGCGCACCAGTTAAGCTCCAGAAGTTGATAGTGGAACGTGATGTTTACACGAAACTACCACATGAGCAGTTATGGCAGCCTGGCACCGTGCTTACGAGCTCAGAAACGAAGGCCGAAATACAACTAGAGAGTGGAAAGACAGTACGCAGGCACAGTGATTTCGTCCGGCCCCGCACCCCAGTCACACCGTACCCTGGGGAGGAGAAAGTGTTTCCAGAAGATCTGTAGGAGACAAACAAAAACCAAACAGAAGAAATCGATCAGCCGATTTCTGTTCGGAAACCGCACCGCTCGCCTAAGCCGATAGAACGTTACATTCACAACTGTGATTCCATCTGTCACGTGAGGGGATGTTACATGTGTGTCGTCCGCTAAACCGCTGAGCCGATGAGCAAACACAGACATACAGATCGATTGACCGATAGCTGATTCGTCCACTCTTTTTCCTTGTGCTGATTGGTTCCTTTTCGAGTTATTCATCTGGTGTAACCTACAAGCTATCTATTACAGTTTTTGACACGTCCTATCCGGTGTGTGTGTTCTTATTCATTTCATGCGCGGACTATGGGTCTAGGTGCGATCCAGCAATACTCGAGTAATACGTATCAGATTCGAAGGCGGTTGAGCGGCGTGCATGGCGCGATCTAATCACGAAGGCAGTTACTGAGGTGCGGGAGAAAGCCCTCATGCATGCAGAGAAGAAGCGGCAATTGCGGAAGCGGCAAGCACCGATGGGTTGTACTCCATCGACATCGAGCGCATGGTGCTGTAGCACATGCGGTCGCGAGTGCCTGAGTCAGGCAGGCCCAGTGAGGCATGAGCGAGGCCACTGGGTGCACTACTGAAGCGACGACGGGTCCTGCGGAGAACGTAGGCAGAACCAGCGCAGCGTTTGTAGGTACGCTGCATTCGATTTACTAACAGCGTGTTTGCGTGCTGAGTATATTTATTTTAGGAGGTGGGTTTTCAATTTTGTCTTAATGCTTTTCTTTCCCATATAAATACCTACTTATACTCTTTTCTGTACATTTGCAAATGTCGCTTAAGCCACTTGTAGTTATTTCGATAACATTTTCGTGTTTGTAGCATTTCCGGAAAATAAAATGCTTTACCTCGTGAAATAACATCGTATTCGTTGGCAAACAACTTATTTCATATGCTCACTATTTTAAGTAATGTCACCGTTTCTTAATGCATTACTCGATTTATTCTTTGGTTATCGTTCTCTTAAGTGATTGGTTGTTGTTTGATATCCCCCGGTGTGGCTGCGCTTGATGTGCATGTTGACAAGGTGCCTACCTGTCTATTACCCACTACCTCGTCCATACTGGCTCCAGGAGACAGTTGGTCGTTGCTGGAGGGGACGGGGTGCACGATCCTTGTGGCCGTGTTAGGCTCGAAGAGTGGTTCCATGCACTCAGTGTGGAGCGGTCTACGGTCCAACCACCGCTTGATTCCCCAAATACAGCGTGCTTGTGTTTGCCTGTGAAGGAGTGTGGGCCGGCTCCGTTGATGAAACTTGGCTCCCCTCCACATGCCTCCCGGTCTTATTCCTTCGGGTTTACACTGGATATGGGGTGTGTGGTTGGAGCTGTGGGTGGTGCAGCGCAAGACACCCATGGTCCCTCTGTAGGCGCAGGCGTCCCTTGGCTGGCCACAGTGACAGTCAAGTCCGAAACCGGATGCCGCCAGCCAATAATGCAATGTCATTGAAAGGTTGTAGCATTATTTGATCTGTTCCTTTTAGGGAATTGCTTCTCGCATCGTCGATGAATATACAACTTATTTTTTTATTTATTTCAGCCAAAACTGGGCCCAATGGACTGTCCATGGCCACGCCGTCGATTTGTCGATACAGGGTTCCATTGAACTGGAACTGAAAATATTTTGTGCACAAGCGCAGTGATGATTTGAGCTGGAGCGCTGGGAAACCGACCGTCAGGGTGTCTGTACGTGTTAAACCTATCAACCACCTCCTGGTGGCGTCATCAACTTAAAGCTTTATCTCTTGATTTCAAATTTTCGGTTCCACCAAACAGATGTGACAGAATAGGGATCGAAGCTCATTTTGAGCATATGTGCGAACAACTGTCCAGTTTACCACCGGTCAGCGGGGATACACGCGGATGGTATGGAGCTAAAATGGTAGATTTGGCTAACAAATTCTGTCAATAAAACGGAAAAGTGCACTGGGAATCCTTGATACAACTGCGGCGAAATGAAAATCTCGTAATACAGAGACCTGACAAGGGATCAGGAGTTGTGATTTTTTAAAAGAGACTACATTCAGAAAGTCCAATCAATTCCTGAGGATTCTAATCGTTTTGTTCGTGATTTAAAGAACCGAGACAAAAGCGAACACATGGAGAAGATAATAGTGCGTGAATTGAAGAATCTAGTGAAGGCCGGATTGATGGATGCCATAACCATGATCCAGTTACGGCTTCGGGGATCACGACTTCCCCACATATATGGCTTACCGAAAACTCATAAAGAGGGTGTCCCAATATGTCAGCGAGGATTGCAGAACATGTTCCGCGAAACATAATCCCTAATGCCCCGAAGCTACCGACTAGCTCTCTTGATGCCACATACTTGACTGCCCTGAATGCCAAAACCCACGTGGCAATTTCAGGGTAGTTGGCAAACAAGCTAAACTCCCCTTACTACAGTTTGCGGAGGCGTCAGCAATTCGGCGGCTGAAAGCAAATCTGTGCATGCAAATGGACTTCGTGACCACGCTAGCCCTTCCTTGGTGAGGCTAGTGTTTCCATTTTCCTCGGAACGGGTCACGTAAGCCTAAGGGCCTTCGACCGCTTGGAATATTTTACCGTTAACATCCCACTTTGATTGTCTGCTATGTAGGCTGTGTATTTCACTAATTGTATGTAAACAGCTGAGGAGAATACGCGAAATTACCGAATGCAGTAAATTCTGTTAAAATGTTGTTTCTTCTTCCTTTATTGTAATATGGATGCTCTTGAAACGTCAAGGATATGTCAGTGATGGAGAGTGATAAATGTTCAATATGATAACCGATTTTAGCACACTGAGTGAAAGCAATGTAAAATGGTTAGGCTAATTAGCGAATAGGGATACCGTGTTCTCAAGTAAGTCATCCAGGTTGGGGAATAGGTTGGAGTTCGTTTTGGACTTCACACGCACCAAGTACACCTGCGCCCCAATTTCAAAATTCGTTTGACAGCGCGCCTGAAGGCTCTTCCACGAAAGAGTAGCAACACTGCTCCACTGGAAAATAATGACTGTTGCCAATCGCTTGAGGCAGAAACAAGAGCAGTGATCTACGCCAGTATACTACGCCCCGTACCCGTAGGAGAATCATTTGTCCACGCTCCTTGGTCGAGGCTAAAATATTCAGTTCAACGCGCCGCTTTATCTACTTAGGACTCTACCTCCAAGCCTGTGAAGTACTGTGTTGTATCCCGAGAATGCGGCAGACCAGAGTGATACCGGAACATATGTATGGAGAAAATTGTCCGTACACACACGCAGTCCAGTTAATTCGATAGCGGTTCGAATTGCAACCAATCAGATGCAAGATCCTATGATTGATCAACGAGTGTTAAATAGAAGTATGAGTAGGATAAGGGAACCGAGGACATAAACAAAGCAAAGTATTTGAGCACGACATTCTCCCGTCTGTGCGTGAAAACATAACCACTACGATCTAATTTAATGTCAGTGACCCGAAGACTTGTCATGTGGCGTTATCCGTTAAGGTGTATCGGTAGACAGGGCGGCATATCCGACCGGAACGTGGTAAGTTTGTATTAGTTTGTACCGAGCGCTGCGTTGTAGGGGTGTTCCTCCGTTCAATAGCACGCTGAGAATGCGCTGTATGCAGTCGTCTTGCATTCACCTTTGTCTCATCAGCTAACCTGTAAATTCCTGGCGTGCACACAGATTCCACACGGGTGGGGTTCCAAACACATTATCTGCTTTCCGGAAATAGGTTAGTCTCACGCGAACAAATGTCCCTGGAGGATACGTTTCGCAATGCATCTACATTTAGCCTGGTAAACAGCCTGTCTTTCGTATTCTCTGTGATCGGCGGTTTCCTCGGATGTAAAGACTGCATTTAATCGAGTTCGAATTGTTCGTTCTAGCATTAGCTCCGAGGAGGTCGTTGCCGTTGCATAATTTGGAGTGGTTCTGTATAACTCCAATGCAGATACCAACGCATCATCCCAGGATTCTCCTGAAAGTCGAAGGACTTGTAGAGATTCTTTGAAGGTACGATTAAGTCGTTCTACGAGTCCATTCGCTACAGGATTATAAGGTACAGTCTTCGTGTATCTGATAACATTGCGCCTTAGGAATTCAGCATTCTTGTTTTTTCGGAACGGTGAGCCGTTATCAGTGACTATTTCTTCTGGCAAACCGTACCTTGCAAACAAATAACGGAGCCACTTTATGCTGACAGCTGTAGTTACGTCCCCGCATAGAATAGCCTCTGGCCATTTGCTGTAGAAACATGTAGCCACTAGCACGTTTCGCTTCTGCGGCGGTGCATTGGCAAACGGGCCCATAATATCGATCACAATTTTCGCCCATGGCTTCATGGGGTACACGATAGGTTGGATTGGAGCATTCAAGGGCCTCGCATTCTTATCGGGTTGTTGACAGGCCTAACATTCCCGAATAACCGCCTCGACGCTGGAATTCAACTCCAGCCACCAACAGTATTGTCGTATCCCAGATTTTGTTCGCACAATCCCTGGATGACCTTCATGCGCACATGAAACCGCCAAAGTAAAAAGGTTTGCAGAGACCCCAAACTGTTTGCCTCTAACAATGCAGTTACTCACAGTAGAAAGCTCGTGCCGTAGGGTATAGTATGAAAGTAACTCAGGTTGGATCTCGGTACGACTGGGCCATGAAGTGGATATGTACTCCCAAATCTTCGCTAGGACAGGATCTTTGTCAATGTGCTCACATGTTATTTTAGGTGTTCCGTCTGGGAGCTACTATATCATTTTTACTTCCGCTAAGTGTCGTTTTACCCTTCTTTGCACAGCGAGAGTCTTGACAAGGCATCTGCAAATTGGTTAAAACACCCTGGCACGTATTTTATTTCATAACCATAGTTCAATAAACGTGGGTACCAATGACTCAAGCGTACCGGCTGTTGGCCTTTGTTGCCGCGAATCAGTAGCTTTGTAAGAGCAGAATGATCGATGCTCAATGTGAATCGACGTCCGAATAAGTAAAAATGTCATTTCTCACATGCCTAGACGCATGCGAGGGCATTCTTCTCGCCAGTGGAATAATTTCTTTCAGTATCAGACAAGGCATGTGATGCGTACGTAATCACTTTCTCCTCGCCATCCCGCAGCTGGGACAGAACTGCACTCAACCCAACATCTGAAGCATCCGTTGAAACAAACACTGGATAGTGCTCATTGAAGATCGCTACCGTTGGAATAGATTCAATCATGGCTCGTATGATTATGTAAGCAATGTCTTGTTCAGTGGCTCAACGAAATTCCTGGTTTTGGCGCCTCAACCTCCGTAACGGCTCGGAAATAGTCGCAAAATTCGATAAATGTCGAAGGTAATAAGAACACAAACACAAGAAATGTTTCATCTGTGTAACATTGCATGGTTTTGGACCATCGAGAATGGCTCTGGTGTTCGGCACATTAGGCTTAATATCCGAGGTAGAAATAACATGTCCAATAAACTCGACCTTCGTAACGGCAAATTGGCATTTGTTGGTATTCAGGCGGAAATTTAGTTCATTCAGTCTACGCAGCACATTATGAAGTTTTCCTGATGTTCGGTCGGGTTACTACAAAAGACACAAATATCATCCATATACACAACACATCCCTTGAGATCCGCTAAAGGTAAAGTATTAAATTTCTGAAACAGTTAGTTCTCTTTAGTAATTTAAAAAGCGTAGTAAGAAGACGAAGACTGGCAAACGCACGCATTTCGTATCGTCTCATCAGTGCCTCTAACAATAACTCACAATAATATTTATTCAGCGAGGGGTGCGACCAAACATACATACAAACAGACAAATAGACCAACACGTGATAAGTGAGACAGGGTTATCACCTGTATCCCCAGGGCAATCTAATGCTGACCGATAATTGTTTCTGGACACAAAGCATCGGCTTAATCCGGTTAATTGCAATCGCCTCTGCGAAACGAAGGAGGCGAGAATTGGTGTGTTGTAATAGAATTGTGAACGCCGAATTGACCTCGACTCGGTGACCTGTGGTTAATAGGTGTCGGCCAATCGAAGAGGCTTACGCGGAAAAGTAGCCTGACTCTGGCCAGTTTCCTGCGCGATCGAACGTTGAACCCACTTAGGTATATGCTCCTTCATTCGGGAACTCAATGTTATATCGGTCCTGCCTATGTAACTGGCGCCGCAGTCACAAAGAAATTGGTAAACGCAATGCGAGTTGGCCCTGATAGACTGAGCCTCCTTTACAGAAGGAAGTGGCAGTTTTTAGGTTTTGTTAATGACAACGACCTTTGCGGCATAGTAAGTTGTCTGCATGGCACAGATCAGACGCCTTGTGGTCCTCAACGAGGAGACGTCACCTTTGAATGGCAGTTCAATGATTACAGGCTTCTTAGGTACCGTGTGAACTAGGTCCCTTGGTCGTACTTGACTATGTTTCTCAATGAACCTTCGGGGGTAGCCGTTTTCGATGAACGTGTTGGTAATCAACTGCAGTTCGTCAGCCAGGCAATCAGCAGAGCAGATTCGTCTGGCACGGCTAATCAGGGTTCTCACGAGCGTCCGCTTGTATCGCATTGGTGTGAAGCTAGTGAAATGCAGATACTGCCCGGACCATGTTGGTTTCCTGTAGACAGACCTCTTAATCTGCCCGTTTTCTCTGCGGCTGATAAGGATATCTAAGTACGGAAGGCAATGTTGCTTCTCTACCTCACAGGTGACCCGCAAGTTATAATGCGCAGAATTTAATTGCGTTACCAACTGCTGCATCTGATGTTCCGATGAGCAAATTACCAAGTTGCTGGGGCACTCCTAAGGCCCATTGGTAGCAATTTGTATTGGTACAAACCGTCTTGCGTGAGGAAAACAGCCAAATGGCGGCAATCTGAATTCAGGGGCATGTAGCAGTATGCACTGCGAATATCCAGCTTTGAGAACAATTTGGCATTTGAAAGCCTAATCATCAACTTGTCGACAGAAGACAGAGGGAAGTTGTTCATAATCATGTCAATTAAGCACTCGTAGGTGGGTACATGAACGAATAGAGCCATCTTTCTTTTGAACGGCAACTAGTGGATGAACCCATTCAGAACACTGTGGATTCCATTCAAGTCTTCTTTTCAAAGCTTGCGACAACGCTTTTCGCTTGGCCAGAGGTACAGACCTAGGTTGAGAAATGCTGAACGGTTTCTAATCCTCGCTCAGCCGAAAGTGGTGCATTGTTTTGGGATTCTGCCAATATCCGGAAGAAAGAGATTTGGGTAACTGGAACT